GAAGACCCGGGACATAATGATGAACATACTGGTTGTTGTGGTGACAATGACCCAATTGATGTGTGTGAAATTGGAAGTAAGGTAATGAAATCTGAGGTTTTTTTCTGTAATGTTGAGATGATAATAATGAAGTTCATACTTCTAAAAATATTGTGAATAAAATATATGAATTTTAGTGAAACAATCATGGCTCTTTGGGTGATAAATTAAAGGCTTCTGTTTCATTCTAAACATTTATATGTTATAATTTGTACACTTAAACCTAGTCTGGGAAAAATGTGTGTGTGTGTGTGTGTGTGTGTGTGTGTGTGTGTGTGTGTGTGTGTGTGTATATATAGGTGTATGATTGGAATATATATATAGAAGAACTGGACATGTCCTGCATTGCTTTAGAAGACAGATAATTATTCCTCCTGAAGCAGGCATTAAAAAAAAGAAGGCAGATAATTAGTCAATAGGTGAAGGGTACCAGGAGGCAAATTTCATCTCAACGCATGGCAAGCCTTGCCTGATGATTTAGAGTGATCGGTGAATTGACCCAAACCAAATAACCTCATGAGTTGGAGACTTACGTTTGGGATTTCTCTATTTAGTAGGGTTGCTCGAAGATTCTGATGATAGTTATTTCTTCATGATCACTCTCAGTCTCAGAGAAATAGTAAACAAAGCTGTAATGACTTTTTTAAGTCATAAAATTTTTAAGTCATCATATGTATGACTTGCTTAACTCAATGGCTTTTATAAAACGTAAAGAAAGCACATTAAAATGTGGATTGGAAACTATAGAGGACTTATTCTTCAGTATAATCAAAAATAGTATAAAAAACATTAATTGCCCTGAACTATGTTACTGGTTTTCTTTTGACCTATAAGAAAATAGGACCTATAAATCTTGTTTTCAACCTTAATAGAACTGATGAAGCATTTACTTATCTAGCTTTTAAAAATTTACTTAAAGGTACAATCTTCAGGTAAGTTTGCAGAACTTGGCATCTTTTTTATTTCCTATTATCCACCAAGGAAAACTTTTCTTTCAAAGTTTCATTTTGTAGTGTTGTTCTGACTTTGGTTATTGACTCTCAGGTATGTGCAAGAGGTGAAATAATCAGGGTAAAAGTTCTGGGCATATTGGCTATGATTGACGAAGGGGAAACTGACTGGAAAGTCATTGCCATTAACGTGGACGATGCGGATGCAGCCAATTACAATGGTAAGAAAATCTGAAGAGTCCAAAGTCATTCTCATTATATTGTAAGCACCACCAAACTTCACCTGTATGATGGAATTTTAAGCCCATGCTATTGAAGGATGGAGGACAAAGAATTTGACGAAGCATTGTTATTTCTACTACTGAACTTAGGGTAGTTAGCTAAGTTTCCTTCATTCCAGGAAAAAAAAAAGTCTAATAGTTTGAGTTTACTGTTTTTTTTTTCCATTCCTTCCCCATATACTAGCACTCAGTTGCTATGTTTGTTTATTTTTTAAAAATGTTTAATTGAGATATAATTCACATACCGTAAAAGCCACCATTGTAAAGTATACAATTCAGTGGTTTTTAGTATATTCACTAAGTTGTATAATACAACCATTACTACTATCTAATTTCTGAACATTTTCATCATCCCAAAAGGAAATCCTGTATCCATTGGCAATTGCTCCCTGTCCCCTTTCCCTCAGTGCCTGTCAGCTGCTAATCTACTTTCTATCTCTACAGATTTGCATATTCTGAACATTTCATGTAAATGGAATCATATAATAGGTGACATCTGTGTCTAGCTTATTTCACTTTGCATAGTGTTTTTGAGGGTTCTTCCACATTGTAGCGTGTATCCAGCACTTCATTCCCCCTTTTTTGGTGGTAAAATTCACATAACATAAAATTCACCATTTTAACTGTTTTACAAAATACAATTTGGTGGCATTTAATACATTCACAAGGTTATGTGGCCATTATGACTAGTTTAAGTCACTCCCTGTTTCCTCCTCCTCTCAGGCCCTGGCCACCACTAATCTGCTTTTTGTCTATGGATTTGCTTATTCTAGATATTTCACATATATGGACTTGTATAGTGTGTGATATTTTGTGTCTGGCTTCTTTCACTCGGTATAATGTTTTCTAGGTTCAGCTGTGTTGTACCACATGTCAGTACTCCTTTTTATGGCTGAATTTTATTCCATTGTAT